GCCAAGTCAGGGTGAATCCACTTTCTGAAGCAGTATGGGGGAGCAGGACTGATGGGGTACATGCAAAACAGGCTACAAATTGTGTAAATTCACCTGAAAATCATAAGAGCAACATATATGTGCTATTATCCTATTCTAAAAATGTATTTTATTTGCATCTATTATACCTGTTTGCTGTTTAGTCACTAAGTCGTGTCTGACTTTTTGTGACCCTGCAGACTATAGCCCATCAGGCTCCTCTGTCCATGGGATTTCCTAGGCAAGAATATTGGAAGGGGTTGCCATTTCCTTCTCCAATATTATACCTACATCTGAACAATGAACGCGCTTTGGTTCAACAGTCAGTCCACTGAGACCTCCACTGACACATGTAACAAACACAGGGCCCAGCAATCTCCGGATTTGCTCGTGTGCCTCTTAATATTTTAAAACAGAAGGTGAGAATGATTTATTTAAAATGTCTCTGTGTCCTTCTGACCTCGGAATTACTCTCGCTTATGCACACCAGGAGTGGGAACCAAGCGGTAACACCTGGAGGCCTGCCCGCCCGCAGGGTTTGGGTGACACTGGCTAACAGGAGCTGGAAGCTCTCCCAGAGTTTCTGAGGCCCTTGGAGGGTGTGTCTCAGCGCTGCCCTCTCCTGGCCCCACAATTATTGATGCGTGGTACTTGGGTGTTCTGCCCCACTTCAGTCTGGACATAGCATCTGGCCCTTCCATGAGCTTCCGTAAGAAATCTGCTCAGACTGAGCATCCCAGGACTTCAGGGGGAAGGATATTGTGGTCGCGAGGGTCCATACAGGACAGCGTGCAACCAGACACCACCCTACTCCACTGGGTCCCTCTCTAACTCCCTTCCCAAGTCCACTCTGTATCTTCTCGTCTCAGACTATACCGGGACACTCGAGTTCTTTGCTTTCTCACCACGTGGAGCCACTCAGCCTTCTCTGGGTCCCACCCCAAATGCAGATGTCCAGACCCATCACAGTGCTCAACAGGACAAAAGGACTCCTGATAACATGACTCATCTTCCTTAATAGGCAAATGGTATTAATAATATTATCTGTTATATTACTAAAGGTTAGACACTTCATGGGCTTTCCAGGTGGCACTAGTGGTGAAGAATCTGCCTGCCAAGACAGGAGACGTAAGAGATGCAGCCTCTATCCATGAGTCAGGAAGATCCCCTGGAGGAGGGCATGGCAACCCACTCCAGTATTCTTGCCTGGAGAAGCCCATGGACAGAGGAGCCTGGCGGGCTACAGTCCATAGCGTTGCAAAGAATCGGACACGACTAAAGTGACTTAGCACACAAGTACTTTATATGTGTTTATTTCATTTTCTCAAGTATCTCCCAGGTTAGGTTATTTTCAAAACCATTTTACAAATGATAAATCTGAGGTTCAGAGAAGTTAAGCTTAAGGTCACAGAGTAAGGGCTCCACCACCTTCAGGTTCCCTACCCCTCTTCAATCCATGGACCAACTCAGCAATACTGCTTATCCTGATAATCTGCCTCCCATCCTGTGATGGTATCAACCTCTTTCTCACCTCTTCCTCAGGGTTTGATTTCACCACTGAGTATTTTTTCTATCTTCTGATATGTGTTTTCACTTATTTTCAAATTGCTGAGGATAACAGCAGGCTGTACAGAAAACACTGCTTAATAATTTAAATTTGGGGGAATAACTGAAACAAGAGTTGGAAGGCCCCTGGGAAACCATCAGGAAACTAGGAAGTGAGCCATGACTTCTCACTCTCATACCTGAACTGCCAGCAAAAACAGGAGTGACTTTATAGGTGAATGTGAGTGCAAGTGTGACCTCTCTGCCCCACCCCATTCACACCGAAAGGGCTGTCTGGATTACTCCCGCCTCAACCAGAAGTGGAGCATAGACTCGCCCCAAGAAGCAGATGGATGCCAGACCCACTATCGGAGACTGTGGCTCAAGTCTGGGCCACCACTGCTTAGCTGAGAGGTGTCAGGCCTTAGCAGGGGTGGGTGACAGCCATCAGGGGCCACAGCAGGGTTCGCAAAGTGAAACAAGCCTACGGGCAGCATGCAGATAACTGTTTAGTCACTCAGTCATGTCCAACTCTTTGCAACCCCGTGGACGTATAGCCTGCGAGGCTCCTCTGGCCATGGGAGTTCCCAGGCAAGAATACTGGAGTGGGTTGCCATTTCCTTAATACAAATACCAAAATGGGTCACACAGGAAATGTGAATTCATTGCTAACCTTTAAATTTTAAGTAAAAATCTGGATTGTTGGTTTTTGCTTAAAAGAGCAGACCACACGGGACCCTGAGGCCTGGTTTCCACCATGGAAACAAACAGCTACCACTGAGCAGGCCATCCTCTCAGGAGGGTGGGCTTTCTCCAGTCTGCCGCAGACCTCATGACTCCTTGGTCAAGTGCTTGTCCCCTGGGCCAGGGTGTCCTCACATCTTGGTTTGCTGGGATGGTCCCAGTTTAGGCTTGTTGTCCATGTTTGAGTATTAATAGCAACCTCCTCACGATATCATATGGTCACCTAGACATAATGCACAAGCCCACCTCCACCACACACACACACAGACCACCAAGTTCATACCACCATATGTCAAGCACAGAACCCTGTTATAAAGTGATTTTATTAAATTGATTTGGACATACTGTAGGTCAAATAATATTTTCCGAAGATAACAATTATGGACTTTAAAGCTCGACATAAAATTAGTAGCTTCAAAAGTGTTAGTCATATTCCCCAGCAACAGCATGATAAAATAATTCAACTATGTAGAAATATAGAACTCTAGGACTAGCTGGAAACTCGGAAATCATTTAGCCTAATGTCCTCATTCTGTACGTGAGAAAACTAGACTCAAAGATTAAGCGATTTTGCCCAAGCTCACATACCTAATAGTAATAAAGCTAGAAATCAAACCCATTTTTCCTAAAACTAAAATTCTATCAATGATATTTGAACTGGCTCGCTATCAACTAAAAGTCTAGGCTTTTCTCTAATGCTCCACACTACTGTGACATGAGAGAGTGTTAAGACACTACAGTAAATCGTAGTCGAGGAATTCAGGCCTGGAAGGGGCTTTATCAAATAACTAAGCCAGCCCTCTCTTTGCAAAAAGGAGGAAAATTACGTGAAGTGACTTCCCAAAGGCTTATTAACAGAGCTATCCAGATGAAAATTCAGATGGTAACACATGTACCCCCGCCACCAAAAATCCCATCTTCTACTTTCACCCACTCAGTTAAGTGCCCCTTTTAAATCTCCTTTATGCACTGAGGTTTTAGTTATACAAAAACCCCTTCCAGTCAAATAGAAGAAATTAATTCAAATATGAAGAGAAAATCAAGCTTTGTTTCATATTTCGGTGACTATCTCGGGCAGTTCATTTTCCAACCTCTCAAGACAGTGGACAGACACTGCTAACTTCAGAGCTTTCAAAAAGCCTTAATTTCCCCCAAAGACTTCCTGAGCAAAAAGGACTACATGTGGGAAATCAACAAAAACAGGAATGAGGAGAGAAACAAAGTTCAAAATTAGTTGCTTTTTGTTGTCATTGGGGACTTTTGGTCTTCTAAACATTCCTGGAGTTCCTCCACATGAGTTTTTAATATCAATCTAGCCAAAAAAAAAAAAAAAAGGGCCTATAAACGTCAGGATACTGAGCTTTCAGCATCTCCCCCGCCCCGCTGCTCACTACACTCACCGCCGGGCCGCGCCTTCTGCTCTGCCCACTGCGCACAGGGCCGCCCCCCTGCGAAAGCTGGGCACCTGCGCTCCGCAGCAACCCCCGCGCTGCCCTTGCCCGCACAAAGGCCTCCCTGACCGCTATCTACCGCCGCCCCCCACCCCCACACAGCTCTAAATCATCACCCTAGGTTATTTTCTCCATAGCACTTAATCACTATCTCACACTACATTATTTGTTTACTTGCTTATCATCTGTCTCCTCCACCAGAAGTCAACTCCACGAGAGTAGGGCCCTTGTCTGTCTTACTCAGTGGTATCCCCCGCAAGGGGCACAGTGCCTGGCACATAGGAGGTGTTCAATAAATACTTGTCCAATGAATGAAGAAAGAAAAGGAGAGGTTAACAGAGACACTCCTGCCTACAAAGGAACGGATATGTAATCCTACACATTATTGCCCAAAATTACATTAACAGAAACTATTATTAGGGACGCCTCCTATCATCCACTTCTCCTACGGGAAAGTGGCTCCACCTGTTACTAAAGGAGCCCCAGAGGGCAGTTCTGGATGGAGAAAAGTCCCAACTCCACTCACTTCCTCCTCCCTATTTACATTCAGCTATTTCCCCCCACAAAAAAAAAAAAACAAAAAATATTCAAGTTAAAAATATGTGATGTAGCCACTAGAAAATTAAGTCTAACATAGTGACAGTGATTAGCAGAATTCACAAAATTAAAGTTCAAGGGCGTGTATGCTTGCCAATGATTTTCTCTGACAGGTAAAGTGGCCATCATGAGTCACCTAAAACCTAAAATGAAATTTGATGCCATCTAGGAAGGGGTGGATATTTATGGGCATTTGGAGGGTACACGGGTAGAGTGAGTGCAGAAGTAATGGGATACATGGACAGATATGGAGAGGCTAAACCAAGTGGTAACCTCTGAAGTACCAGAACACTACTTGGTGGAAGCTGGCCGTTTTCAAATGCATTCACCGGTATGCTGGGATCAAGAGAAGGAAGGTGGCGAGTTCCTGAAATGGGGCAGTATCTGGGGTAACTTTTAGGTAAAGTGTAGACAGAAGGTGACTTGGGAGGCTGTGCAACGACCACGGTTTCCTGTGTAGTTATTCCACCAGAATCCCAGGAAATGCACACCCACGACTGGGACCTCACAGCCTGCCCTGGGCACACACTCACAGGAGTTTCAGATTCACAAGTTGTGCAACACACTTGGCATGAATCCAAAAACTCACCCTCATGCATGCCTCCTGGAAAACAATGTTCTTCTGGGTCCTGCTGTAAAAATTTCTTGGATCAATGTAGGTATTTACAGGGTTTTTCCTTCCTAGTGGCACTTATGGGTTTTAAGAATTTTTTTTTAACTCTTAGCAAAATGCTTTATATAACTGATATTTTGAGATGGTTTCTCTCCTTTGTGTGCACTCTCTGGTGGATGCAGAGGCTGGTGCTCTGACTGAAGGCCTTCCCACACTCATCGCACTTGAAAGGTTTCTCCCCTGTGTGCACTCTCTGATGGATGCAGAGGCTGGAGCTCTGGCTGAAGGCCTTCCCACACCCACAGCACCTATAGGGCTTCTCCCCTGTGTGCACTCTCTGACGGATGCAGAGGCTGGAGCTCTGGCTGAAGGCCTTCCCACACCCACAGCACCTATAGGGCTTCTCCCCTGTGTGCACTCTCTGATGTATGCAGAGGCTGGAGCTCTGGCTGAAGGCCTTCCCACACTCATAGCATTTATAGGGCTTCTCTCCTGTGTGGACTCTCTGATGCATGCAGAGGCTGGAAGTGTGCCTGAAGGCCTTCCCACACTCTTCACATTTAAAGGGCTTCTCTCCGGTGTGCACTCTCTGATGCATGCAGAGGTTTGAACTATTGCTAAAGCCCCTTCCACACTCACTACATACATAGGGTTTCTCACCTGTATGAACTCTCATGTGAATCTGCAGGTGTGAGCTCCAATTGAAGGCTTTGCCACACTCGTAACACTTATAGGGCTTCTCCACTGTGTGGATTTTCTTATGTCTGTTAAGTTTGGTTGTAGTACTAAAATCCTTACCACAATCGTTGCATTTATAGACCTTCTCTCCTGTGTGGTCTCGCCAATGAATATGAAGTTCTGATATATGAAAGAAACCCTTGTCACACTTGTCACATTTATGGGGCTTCTCAGCAGTGTGAATTTTCTGATGCATAAAAAGATCTGCTCTCTCAGAGAAAAACTCCCTGCACATGGGGCACTTGTAGATCATGGTTCCTATTTGGTATCGTGATTTAGAGATTTCCTTACAATGACTGCAGTTACAGGCAGCTGTCTCAGAGTCTCTCATTTGGCCATGTTGGCATTTATCTCAAGCTGGCTCTATGCAGGAGATATGAGGTCGGCCTAAGCTTTTCCCTGCCTGTCTTTCCATGGAAGGTTTCTTCCTGCATAGTGTTCCTCACTCAGTATTATTATTGATTATAAAGTGACATGTACATCCACGTCAACTCTGGAACTCGTTAACACAGCACTTTCTTTTAGATCCTGAGCTGTCAACATTCCAAGAGGCTGCCAAGGTGCAAACCTTTGTGCTTTTAAGCCCCTGGAATCTTCCTCTTGCAGAATAATCTCGTTCGTCTCACTTGCAGGGAAAGGCCTGCCCAGTGTCCCCTGCGGCCAAGGGTGTGATCCTGCGTGCTGGCCTCGGTCCTCGGGAGCCTCCCCTTGCAGAGTCACTATGACATCCTGCCTCCTTCGCATCAGACAGGAGCCTCCCAGGAAGCAAGCACCTCAGGTCCCGGTATGTCAGTCCTTCCTCGTGAGGCCTCCCTGCACAGCTGTCGCTCCAGCGGTCTCCTGTAATAGAAACGTAACACATACACTGAAAACACCTTTCTCATCCAGCAAATTGCCATGGATTCTATAATTAGTTTTCAATAAGCAAGACAGCAGTGACACAGACCTTCTGTGATCTTGAGGAAGGAGCTCTATCTTCCACAGAGATGTGTCTCTTAAATTTGCAGGTCTGAAGAAGAGAATTTGTAGATATCATGCTCCCGTTCACAGCCCAAGTACATAATCCAATTACAACTGCTGACTGTAATTATCTGAGCAACACCAAGGGCTATTATTGAAAAAGAGAAGAAATCCTCAGAAGACCTACATGTGAGTATCAGAAGCAGCTGTCTACACAAAGGAGCAAGAAGGAAAACTCGCTCCACTTGGAACTTCAGAAGGAACAATGCTGCTGCTTCTGGAGCTGAAACACAATACTGAAGGGCCCTCCAATCCAGAGAAAGTAAATATATGACATGTTGGCATCAAGAGTCGTTCCCTCACTTAACTGTCCCAATGGTCTCCTGATGTTCTTAAAATCCCAATCCTTAACCTAAAACCCAAGGTCCTGCATGGCCCTGCCCCCACCCACCCCAACCTCACACATGGCTGGATGTGTCAGCTGCCTCTTTCTCCTTTTCCTCAAGAAGATTCCTGGCTAAGACTCTATTTAAATCTCTTATTTGATTCCTTCAAAGTACAGAAAACTTGTAATTATCTAATTGTTCCTTGCTTTTTGTTCTGTCTCCTGTGCTAGAAAGTAAACGCCAGGAGGGAGGAACTTAGTACGTTGCTCACTTATATTCTGGCCAAGCAGGGGTATTCAATGGATACCTACTGGATGCATCCAGAGGGTACTTAATAACACCTCCTCTCTCCTGTAGACATGTCCTGCTTCATTCTGGTACAGCAGATAAAGGTATATTTTCCACTGCCTTATTACCAGACTTTTGATAATCAACATGGGACAAAATATACACCAAACAGACCCAGAAGAAAATCCCCAAGTACTCAGTCTGAAATCTTTTGAGGTTTAGGATGCCTTAGCTACATTTTTATGTCCTGTATTATGCTCAGCAAGTGATACTTCAGTTGCTTAATGAAATAAACATATCTTAGAATGACATTCTCAATAATATGCTCAATACCAAGACAGGATACACGAGGGCTTGAGGAGGTTTCTTTAACATTAAAATCACAAAATAAGGGGACCTCCCCAGTGATCCAGCAGTTAAGATTCTGAGCTTCCAATGCAGAGGACACAGGTTCAATCCCTGGTCAGGGAACGAAGATCCTACATGCTGAGGAACATGGATAAAAAAAAAAAAGATTGCAAAATAAACAGTACTGTTTCCAGATGGAAGTGTCAGGATAATTCAATTCATCTAAACAACCAAGGTTTCAGCAAAATATAATCAGTGTCTGAAAAATTATATATGCATCTATCCTCTGATCTAGTAATCACATTTCTAGAGATCTATCCCAAGATATACTGGCAAAATAGGAGATGACCAGTTTATTCACTGATGCAGCACCTGTCACAGCAAAACTACAGGCAGCCCAGGGCCCACCCACTGGGGAGGGGCTGAATCAACTATGGGGCTTCCTTACAGTGAACTATTGCTCAGCCATCAAAAAAGGGAATGCGGACGAGCACGATGTACTGACACGAGTAAGCCCAGGTGCTGGTGGTGGTGGTTTAGTCGCTAAGTCGTGTCCGACTCTTGCGACCCCATGGACTGTAGCCTGCCAGGCTCCTCTGTCCATGGGATTCTACAGGCAAGAATACTGGAATGTGGGTTGCCATTTCCTTCTCCAATCCCAGGTAATACTGTCTAAAAAAAAAAAAACAAGGCATAGAATAGTATATCCAACCTTCTATCTTTTATGCAAAAAAGGAGGGGAATGTGAATTATTTACATACATCTTTACATGATGTACAAAAGTAAACATGGAGAAGGATAATATGAAATGAATTTTTTTTAAAGTATAATTTACAATGTTCTGTTAGCTTCAGCTGTACAACAAGTGATTCTGTTATACATTTAGATAAATACTCCTTTTGGGATTATGGATATTGCAAGATATCGAATATAGTTCCTTGTGCTATACAGTAGGTCCTTGTTGCTTTCTATTTTATATATAGTAGTGTGCATATGTTAATTCCAAATGCCTATTTTATCTCCCCCACTCCTATTGTCCTCTTTGATAACAGTTAAGTTTGCTTTCTATGTCTGAAAGTCTATTTTTGTTTACTACAAAATGAATTTTTAAACAGGAGGAAGAAGAAAAGGATGAAGTAAAATTTCTCTGAATGTGACATTAAGTTGTTTTGGCTTTGGAAACATATGTTTATATATTCAAAAGCAAAATTAAATAAACAAAAAAAGCAATTCCTAAAATTTTAAAACAAAATGAAGAAAATGAACCTTAATTTTCCTGTTATCCACAAAAAACTTTTAAGTACAAGAGACTGAGTGTCCATTCTTAGAAGGAAATTCTGTTGATAAATAAAGCTGCAAAGAAGTTAAATTTCTTTCATGGTTTAACTGATTTATAACCAATGTATTTTCATAAAGTAAGATAATGCAAATAACTCACTATGGTAATGTTGTTAAGAACCAAGATTCGAAGTGAAAGAAGTGAGATACTGGCATAAAATCAAAATTAAGGAAAAAATTCTTATAATGTAAAATTTGATTTAGAAATATCAGCAGTGGTCCCTTCTCTTATGGAACCTTCTCCACCAAATGGCACAGGGATCTTTGCAGAGTGGCTGGTCTCAAGGCCAGAGCAGCACTTTACACAGTGAGCCTTGGGACACCTTGTTATGCCAGAATGCAAGGAGTCATGCCAAAGAACACAGATGCCAACTTACGAATAGGCTCCCATTGGCCAAAACTGGGACAACTGAGGGTCAGAAGGAATGATGAATGTGACCCATTGAAACACACTAAATATACAAAACCCCTGAATTCACAGTGACAACAAGGGGTGGGGAGGCACTGAGAAAGAAAGAGAGGTACAGATAGACAGAGAGACAGACTCAAGGCACTAGACTAAACTGAAAGTTACAGAATACCAACTTTTACCTTTTTTGAAACTTGGCAATTAAAAGGAAAGAATGAAGAACTCTTCCTCTATGAACTATCTTTCAAGAGAATGCAACAAGCCAGCTAGTAAGTGTGCAGCTATAACGAAATGCATGATTCAGACCATGGCAAGAAATGTAAAAACATCAGATGAAAGGCTGATCAAGAACTTCTTACACTTTTGAGGATCTGGCTATCAACCCCTGACCCCCTGATTGATGTCAGCATACTCCAAAAGGAGCAAATATACCCCCTACCTCCTGGTCTGATGCCACAGGAACCACACAGCTTCACCTGAAACATTCTTGCCAAACACATCTCCAGGACTCGTTCTTTATCTGAGGGAACTAGGAGGGCTAGGGAACTACCAGGACACAAACAGAAAAATATCAAAATGTGAGCCAGTCCACAGGACAACTGCCCATTTCTGCAACAAGTAAATGGTATGTATGGAAAAGGTGGGGGCGGGGGGTGGACTTCCCTGATGGTCCAGTGGTTAAGACTCTGCACTTCCAATGCAGGGGGCTTGGGTCTGACCCCTGATCAGGGAACTAAGATCCCACATGCTACACGCCATGGCCAAAAGAAAAAAGAAAAAGAAAAAAAAGTTGGGGGTGGGGGCTGCTCTAGATTAAAGATACCTGAGATATAACAATCAAATGTAACTTGAGGATCTACCTTCTTAGGAATTTGGTTCAAATAAGCCAGCTGCTAAAACAGGACAACTGGGGAGATGCCCGTTAGGGACTAGATATCAGATTACACAAGGAACTGGGCTCACTGTATGAGGTGTGATGATGCCTTTGCAGTTGTGTAAACCAATGCTTGTATTTTTAGAGATGGATACTGAGGCCTGTAACAATAAAATGATGTCTGAGATGTGTCTTAAAATGCTTGGGCTAAATAAAAACAACAGACAAAGCAAATGAGGGAGGACTGCTGTAACTGTTGAATCTAGGTGATGGATAAATAATGAATAAGACAATTGATCTCTTCCTTTGTGTATGTCTGTCATTTTTCATGATAAGAAAACTGGCTAATACTGGGAAACATTCTTTTCCTGCTTCTCCTGCAAGGACAAACTGACCCCCGAACCTGAACACTGCACAGAGGTGCACGTGAACTAAGCAGATGCAACCCTCCAACGGCTGTGACCTCGGCAGTCCATCCTGAGCACACGAGTGTGTGCGCACTGCAGACATCTCTGGGGAGTGGAGGGAGGCTGCTGGGGATGAGCTAGGGACACGGCGAGCCGTGCTGCACTAGGCTCCTCCTTCCCTCACCAGCTCTTCAACCGAGAGCCATGTGGTTCCCCTGGTGCCCTCCCTTGGAGAGGCAGCGGCCAAGGTCAGGGCATCGATCCAGACAGGCCTCAGAGAGACTGGCTCTGCTGGCGACGTGAAACTCCTGCAGTCATCGTGCACGACCTTCCACCAGAGCGCCTCTGGACGGGGAAGTCAGGTACTGCTGTGCCTTCCAGGTAAAAGACCTGGGCACAGCTGTAAGTCTCAACGCACTGAGCGCAAGCCATATTCTGCAGGTAAAAGGCCAGGCAAAGAACATCCAGCAGACTTGCCATGTGACCAACAAGAGAAGGACAAACAGGCACCAAGGATCCCCACTGCAGCCTTTCCTAAAACAGCACCTGTCTCACTGCTTCTTCACAGACAAAGGAAACAGCAGACCAAGAGAGCAGGGAGGAATCACAGAACTCTACACACCGCAAGGGCACGATGCTCCCAAGAATCTCTCCCTTGAAACTGGATGTTTCCTATCCAGTGTCCCATTAAGGGCTTTCACGGGGACAGTGTGTATGACTGGGGGCCACCTGGTAGACTGGAGGAGGAAGGGGGGCTTGCACCTGAGGACGTCAGGCACCACCACAGGCCATGTCCCGTCTCTCCACAAGACCTTGGGGCACCATCAGCAAGTCCGTGCCTTCAACCTGCATGTGAGAAGACCTTTCAAATAAGAAAGGTGCAGGCTGGCAAAGAACTGAGAGGAAAAGGGTTTTAAGTAGCCCAACTGCCCTGAACCCCACCTTTCATGAAAAGGAGTTTCTTCCCTCCCTGCGGTCTGTCCATCAGGAGATTTGCCT